TTCTCTGGATATAGACATAACGTAAGGCAGTTGGATCATTATACGTTGCATTAGACAGAGGCCGAGGAAAATTGCGCATACATTGTTCACCCACGATTTTGAAACTCAACACGCTCAAAAAAATCACAGATACGTTGCCATCCGCTAAGGCGACTGTCATTTCATATTTTTTTTTTTAATGAACGAAATCGTTGCATAAAATACACGTGAAAAGGACGATTGGTAGGATTATTATTATTATTTATTCTTATTCTTATTCTTATTCTTCTTATTCTTCTTCTTCTTCTTCTTCTTATTCTTATTCTTATTCATATTATTATTCTTATTATTAAATAAATAATATATATATAAAAAACGGCCCCGGGTTTTGCCGTCGATCATTAACATAAAAGATATAAACAACTAACCAAAAGCACCATGAAAATTAAAATGTCTAAATAAAGCAGATGACATATCAAGTCTGTTACACTAAGATGCACACTTTCAGCTGATGATATTGTTTTAATGTTAACTAATCGACCAGGCGTAGATATTACAACATGAGGATGCCATCCCGCCGACAACGATACTTGTGTTGCTGCACAATAGAATTCCATTTGCCATACCCGTTCTAATAAACGGCCATCTCCCTCATGTATAGCACTTCCCCCACGCATCGCACTTCCTCCACGCATCACATTTACTCCACGCGTAGCATTCCTTCATGTATAGCACTTCCCCAACGCACAGTCCCTTCTCCATGCATCGCACTTCCCGTACGTACGGGATAATCTCCTCTTTCTGACCCAAACAAATCCTTCTCCCCATACATGCTACCTTTATCATCCCCTTGATCACTATCACTCATTGTCGGTACTGAAGTGTCGATAGTTTCTGAAGCTCCTACTTTTTCAGTTACATTTTCAGTTGCTACTTTTTCAGCTGCTACTTTTTCAGCTCCTACTTTTTCAGCTCCTACTTTTTCAGCTCCTACTTTTTCAGCTCCTACTTTTTCAGCTCCTACTTTTTCAGCTCGTATCTTTTTCAGCCGTGATATCAACAAACCCTTTCGACTTCCCTTTGCTTCAGTGTCGTCTGACCCAACATTTTCATTCAAAGTGGAAGACGTAGAAAAAAAGAGGCTATGTTGTGCGAAAACTGGAACCCTCGTAAGTCGAACGCAAGATAATTTCCTAGTTATATAATTTAAAGTAAACTGATCTACGTAAATTTGTGTAGCTTGTGCCGGAGCTGGTATAAACAGAGTTATTAAGATCTGCCGTTATAAGGAGTGAGATTAATATGGATTTTTTTGGTTCTGCGAAATTGTACCGGTATAAGGTGAAACCGGTATAGGCAATGCCGGTATAGACAGAGTTGACTGTAATCATATTATTTTATAAGCAGTACGACTTCATTCTTCTGTATTTTTAACTAACCACAATTTTATCTCATTTTCCCGCTCCTCCACGCTGATTCGTAAGTTCGTTGACCAAAGACTTTTTTCTGTGGTAAATTGCACGAGGAATTTTGTGCAAGAACATTAGCAGCAGATGCTAGTACCTTTGATATTGATGTAGCCACATCAAGAACAACTTTTGGAATTTCGATATGCTTGGAATAATTTACCCCTTCTATTTACATCCTCAACTCTGTCTTCTCGTCATCAGTCACATCTGCTATTAACGGCCCCCGCGGCGAATACAATCCAGACCAATCAATTAATTTTTGAGCATAAGGTTTAGGTTCAAGATCGAGGGGAACCAAATGTGCATCATGTTGTTCTTCTATCTCGGCATCCTCGCCCGAACGCTGTTTAGATATATATTGAGGAGCACTTCCCCACGCGTAGTCTTTTCCCCACGCGTAGTTCTTCCCCCACGTATCACATTTACCCCACGCGTAGCATTTGCTCCAATTCTAAATTCCTAAAGATGCTTGCAACATTTTAGGGTTTATTGCAGCAAATAATGTTGTTGACTCATCGTAGCTGACATCAGAGAGAATCAGTAAATATGCCATCGACTTCATTCCATATCTGGAGCTCTTCCGCGCCAATGCCGACTGCTATTAAAGCGGCACATAAGTCTGTGTATCCACGGCCAATACTACAACCTGGTACTTGACCAAAAATGCCACTAAACAGCTTTAGCGGTCCACCGTACATCATTTCAGACAGCCAGATCGGAGGAGGAGTAATTCCGTTAAGGTACTTATCAATAGTACGAGTGACAGTTGTTCAATGTTGTATTCGGTGAGTGTTCGATCCTCTATTAGCTGTTTGCGTGAATAAATTCTGGCCATTTTTTTATTTCACCTCTGACTTTGTTATGTTAAAACTAGCTTTAGCGAGCTTGTAGCAGAATATCGTAGCTTGGAAATAAAGTCGTATGAATATCGTATATGTCAAATAAAATTATAACGGGTTGTTCAAGAATTCAGAGTAAATTGATGCTCGTTTATTGATAAGATAAGGAGGGTATCGATGCTAAGTCTACACTATGTTGCTTATATATCTTTTCGGACTACAAATTGGTTTATTTTTAGCATCGCAATCTGCATTATTGTCTAATTACTAATTTCCTGCTATACGTACTGCAGTCGTGCAAATACGTCATCGTTAGTCAGCTCCTATACAATCACATTGATGTTTTGTTTGCTGTGATTAGATATTTCGAACAGTCAATAAAAATTAAACTGTGCAATACTTTTGTCTCTTAACATAAAAAGTGTGATCAACGTCAACAAAGCCCTGACTGTACTACCAGGTAACTGTATGCAGGTGTGGGTAAATAAACAGTCACATGCATATTAAATACTGAAATAGCAATAGAAACTATTGTATAGTGATAAATGTAACCACGTGACAGCGGATCTACGCAATCTTACTGAATCTGTGATATTGCCATATGATTGATGGTATTGTATGCTTCATCTGCAAGATTACGACGTATGTATTGTATCGTATGATTTGATTATATGATTGACATAATACTAGTTTTAACAATAAAATTCAGCCGTCGCTGTAAAGTTAGAATAAGTTAATAAAAATGGGATGGCCCATTCTGACAATTGGCCAGTTTCGGAATTGTTTCTATTTTATCACATAAAACGTATTGTGTTGATATCAACCAACGATGTCGTTAGTTTTAGAGACTTGTACACCAATTGACAGCTTGATTCAATCCTCCTTGGAAAGTAAACGTAGACTTAAGACTCGAATGGATTTCTTGCTCAGGCATTACCGACATAGAGCCAACTCAAATTGACAACGTCTACTGCGCCATTCGCACGGCGGAAACGATGATAACGTTGGTGTTGCCTGGAAGCAATGAAGAAATGTATACCATAACTCGTGAATGAGTTTTTCAGAATATATTCACTTCCAACACAGCAATAGTGATGTCAGTCGATACAGACTATATTCTGCCTGGCTTTATCATCGCAACAGACTAATAAAGGGGTTATCAAGTACAATAACTATTACATGGTTGCTGATAGCCGCTTTTGCTTCTGTTCTGCATGTGGATTACTCCAATGTGGCGCATCTATGGACATAAACAATTATTCGATGGATGGACTAGTACCATTAAGCAACTCGATGAATTTATAAAAAAGACTCTGTCACAAACAAACTCGGCAAATGATGCTTATTGGAATGGATTCCATTTGATTGTATTCATGTTGAGGAATATGGTCTACGCCTGAACGGTCTACCTACTACTACTTCTAATTCTTTTTTATATGTTAAATCTATTCCACTTGAAATAACAGACGAAACACATGATTCATATTATGCCGAGGTAAACTATTTACTTATTCGTCATATTTATCGATAGTCTAAATAAGTGTCGGGCTGAAGCTTAAACAGGCTGAAGTTGAAACGCACGTAATCATCGAATTTATCAGCCCCCACATTTATTATTATACTACCACAAGATTGGCCAGTCGCGAATATTTATGCCACCCACGTATATATAAACTTTACTATAACGAGAATATTCGATATAGTCAAGAAAACCCCCCGTCCCGTTGACTTTACTATATCGAGTCTTGACTGTACAACCTGTCACTCCGTATTATATACCTACGATATGAATGGTCATTAACCGATTTATTACTTCGAACGAGTCACGGAATTTAACCCTCTTTCGGAATTTAGGATCAGATTTCCCTCCCGCTCATTCCGAATGATAAAGGACAGTATGTTGATACGAAACGTCAAGACTTTGCAACGTAGTTTATATTTTGTAAAAGCCGCAAAATGTAAAAGGCCAGATAATCTTTATCAGCTCAACCAGTCTAACACCCACTTGTGAAAAAATAATTAAAATTACAGGTATTTAGTCAGTAAGAGTACGATTGAAACTATCTTAATATCTAATATTCTAACACTATTCCTAAGAGTGACAAAACCCCCCTGCCTTTATTAAAGTGTTCCAAGGTCCAACATGCAAATTCCTCTTACAGCTGCAACTTTAACTAACAAATCTCTATCACTGGCGTCGGAGAATTCTGCGTCTTCTTGTCTCTTGTTGGCTGCTAATATATGATCCATCATAACATCTTCGTCCATATCTAATAATTTAAAAACCTTGCCCAATGCGTCAATTGGAGACACATCCAACGTCGATAATACTTTTGTGAGATATCCCAAATCAGTAGACAGCTGATGAATACCATGAGAAGACAACTGAGGAATAGAAAGAATGTTCTCTATCAGAGCAAACATTGTGCCACGTGCAATCGAAGCCATCCAGTTGTGAACAACATCTTCGTCCGATGACTCCTCTTCGTTCGAATTGTCATCCGCATCAACTGTACTACTATCCGCATACGGCAACGAACTAAATGAAAATGCTAGTGCACTATCGTCAGCATAATCTCAAATTGACTCGGTAGGTTGAGAAGATCTTCTCCGATAGACATATATTTCGACGGTTGTAGACTAAAGCTTGGTATCTCTAGATTAAATGCCGAACGTCGATTGTCTTCTAAATTACTATTCCATATGCTCATCGTAGGAAGACCAGCTAGATGCTTAACTATAGATAGGTATATAGTATCAAATACAATAATTGGCATTGTTTAGTGAAACTAATCAGGGAGTTCACAGACAATTCAAATAATTGTTTCGATTCAATACACGTCAATAGCTGATTTAGTAAGTAGCTATTAATAATTAGTAATTTACAATTAGTAATACGATGCTAAAAATAGATTAATTAGTCAGTCCGAAAGATATAAAAGTAGTGTAGGATAGACTTAGCATCAGTGTGTTCTAAGTGTTCATCCCAGTGTTAAATTTAGTTCGCTACGATATTTCCTATCGAAGACGTTCGATACCCCTTATATTTTTTATTTCTTATTAATAAACGAGTATCCATTTACTCTGAAAACGATAATTCTTTTCCGTGAATATTCCGTTATATTTTTAAAGCATTAATCCGTATAACGGCAAGATCGATCGTAATACTTGTCTCGCGGTCGATCGAGTGGCAATTAGGATAAGTTAATTTCTTATTAAGACCCCAACCTACAGACTACCGAATTAATCCACCGGTAGAGAGTAGTTTTGTTTTCGAAAGTAGTTAATTATCCAGGATTAGTGTGTGTGATCCGTATACGAATACGTCAGCACTGAAAAGCCTAGTTAAAGGTCACTAACTGTTAGTTACGATTTAGCTATCGCTGAGGTGAGCCACACTCCTACGACGGCGCAGCTAGATCCCAAACCGAGACAGTAGTTA